CCCCCAAAAAACAAAAACAACCACCAACCCCAACAAAAACCCCCCCCCCCCCCCCCCCCAAAAACCCCGAAGTTGGCTTGATTTTTTTACCACAACGTAGCATTGCAAGTGGTTGACTCCCATTGAATTGAATAATACCAATGTAACTTTAGTGCGGTAGCAGAGACTTAGGGTTGATATGGCATAAAACATTTTTGTTATCTGATAACTGACATGGTAGCAGAAAAAGCACATGATCATAGCTGAAACCTGCAAAAGGCTCATTATCTGAGCCTTCAAGGCTGATGTCTGTGTGCAAGCCAGTGTGAATTTCTTGCTATGTTATGCTTTCTGGTTTATCTGCTCTCGCTTAAAATATATTTCGATGATTATTTAAGTTGAAATGATCCAATTTCAATTTCCATTTCTGTTCAGAACAGTACAGCACAACCCCATAAATTTTGATGCTTAATTTTTGCTTTTGCTGGATTAAAAATACCGAGATGACTTGGGAGTCTAAATCTCATTTTCTCCCTGTTTTTCAAAAAAAACCATTGTTTTCTCTGTGAATGAACACAGTTGAATGAGCTAAGCAACATATTTCCATCTTTGATGGTAAGACCTTTGTTTCTTTACCATCGCTACTGTTCATAGTTCTTAATTCTCTTTAAGGGCAGCCATCCTGTTGGACTGCTTCAGCTCCTAAGGGATCCTGTTAAAAAAACTTGATTATGTGCTCATTGTAGAGTGGCTTTAGGAGGTAACACTTCTTTGACCATTATTGACTCAATTGACCATTATTCATCCAGTCTCACCTGAAGGGGTATAATCAGGTGCATGCTTTTGTCCTGCTGCAATGCATAGTAAATTTACTTTGCTCATACCACTGCCTGACTTTACAATAGATAAACCATGTAACACATAATCAGCTACTGTGCCTAAATGCAGTGGGTAAGACTGAGATCTGAGGGGCAGCAAAATGACTAGCACAGTGACTTTTTGACATGTTGTGACATTATCACTAATGGTCACTGATCAGCTGCTGATTTTTCGCAGTTTCAGGACTGCATTTAACCAGGCGTTAAACCTCTCTTTAAAATTATGAATCCAGATCTCAGCAGGCTGGAGAAGCGTACCAGCTGAAGCTTCATGAAATTCAACAAAGGCGAATGCAAAGCCCTGCAACTGGTAGCAACAGATCAACATCTTGCAACAGTACAGGCTGGCTGATGACTGCATAGAAAGCAGCTTTGCAGAAAAGGTCTAAGGGTCCTAGGGGACAAGTTGAATGTGACTTATAATGTGCTCTCATCTTGATGAAGGCTAGCTGTGTATTGGCCTGTGTTAGTAAGTGCATAGGAAGCAGTTTGAGGGGAGCAATTTTTTCCCTCTCTTTTGCACTCAAGACACTGCCTCTGGAGTACTGTGTCCGGTTTATGGCTCTTCAGTACAAAAAAAGTCATCAATAAACTAGAGGGACTCCAGTGGAGGATGAAAAAATTGTTTAGGCAACTGGAGCATGCGACACATGAGAAGCTCAGAGAGCTGGTTTGGAGTCGGAAAAAGAGAAGGCTGAAGGGGATACTAGTTACTGTCTTCTGCTACTGATGGGTGACTGTGCAGAAGACAGAGCCAGACTCTTTTCAGAGGTGTGCGGTTTTAGAATGAGAGGTAATGGACACAAGTGACAGTGAAGGAAATTCCATCTAGACAGAAGGAAATTTTCACAATGAGGTTGGTGAAACACAGGAAGAGACAGTGGAATGTCCATGGTTGCAGATATTCAAAAATCCAGTAGTCAGGAACCTGAGATATCTCATCTAACCTCATAGTTGGATCTAACTTTGCAGTTAATCTTGCTCTGAGCAGAGGCTTGGACCAGATGCCCTTCCAAGGTTTCTTCTGACCTCAATTATTCTGTGATTCTGTACTTCGTAAAGTTGACAGAAACACTGATTTTTCCAACAATTAATATCTTCCTTCTGCGTTGCCTCTTGACATTGCTTTTAAATCTGGTAATTTTGTTAATTTTTCAAGCGATGGAGGTGCTCAAAACCAAGCCACTTTGAATAAATTGTGTATATCCCTTTTTCTGCCTAACAAAGGTACAGATCTTGGAAAAGTATCACTGTTAAAATTTGGCTCTTCCATGCTGTAATGAACACTCACTTAGGGTATTTACAGCTGTTCAGTGATCTGCTCTGCCTAAGCAGTACTTGGCAAGCAGAGGGGCTTTAAGTGATGTGGTCTCATCCTTCCAGTTCAGCTTTAACAATATAGTTAACCCAGTGTACACTATGGCGTTGCAACCTTCCTCTGAAGAAAAATCTTCAGACTCAGTGCTTTGAATGGTTTTATGGGACAGGACTGTTAACATCCCTGAAATTTAAAGAATGATCAGGGCCTACTTCTATTGTTTTGATTTTTAGAAAAAGCTGATTGATCTAATGTGATTTGTTTTCAAACCATATGACCATATCACTGGTCATTCCCTCAGTTTCCATCACTCATTATGTATGTATCTGATTAGAAAAGGAGAAAAGTTGATTACTACACCACTATTATACCTGCTTCTTGCTTATTGGACTCATTAAAAGTATATCAATAACAAATACTATAAATGTCTGAATGTGTATGTGGACATAACTGTGCAGAGTGAGGGGAAACAATCCCTCAATAATGTGAAGGACCATTAGACTGATCTTCCTGTAGTTTATTTAAATCAAAACTCTGATACTCCAGTCTCTTTATGTTAGGTAGTGAAATCCTGACTGTGCAATATATACTGTTTAAGTCATTCTTATATGTCAAAGAGCTTCTTCAGAGCTGATATATATAGCTTGCCTGCTCCATGGCACTTCAAATACTACACTAAAGCATGTTCTTTTTTGTGTTGCAGAACCTGGGAAGAAGGGAAAGTTCTTATTTTTGATGACTCTTTCGAACATGAAGTATGGCAGGATGCTGAAAATTATCGCCTGATATTCATTGTGGATGTGTGGCACCCTGAGTTAACAGCACAACAGAGACGCACCCTTCCTGCTATTTAAGGGGTTCCTTCTGATGAGCGGAGCAGAGGAGCTTTAACCCCTTTGGAGTACACAAATAGGATTAATTTATCCAGCATATTAAGAATACAAATGTTGTAAGGTTTGGAAGAGATCAGGATGGCATTCTGCAATCACAGAGGACTTGACATGAAAAAAGGAAAAAAAAGAAGAAAAAAAAAGAAGCCATGTTTTGTTTCATACTGATACAGCACTGATATGTATTGTTTTTCCAGCTGCAAGTTTGAAAATACAAATCTTGTCAGCCAAAGAGCAATAGGTCTGGATTTTCAAACTGAGGAATGTGCAGATGTTTTTGCCATGCCTATATTATGCGTACAACATCAGTCAGTCAGTCACCTGCCCAACCATGTTCAGGCACAAGATCTGTGATTCTACATCTGGGAAATACTTCCCAGGCTTTTATCTGGGAAGTAACATGTAAGGTATTTACAAACATATGCACACAGCCAACTTTGAAAATCAGTATGCAGTTGTAATGTTAGCTGCTTTAGGCATAGAACATGTCCCTGTGTTATCAACTGTAGATAATGTGAATGGGTTATATGTGTTTTGTATTTTTTTCTACCTGAGTAACTGTATTTTTCTAGCATAATTATGAACAAATCTTCTTTAATCAACCACTATTTTTTAAAAAACGTTATCTATATAAGTGCATCTCTAGCTATCAGCAGAAGGAAAACACTATAGATGAACAGATTTCATTTTTGCCAAGTGTGGCCTTCTCTTGCCTTCCTGGAAATGCAAACAGAAACTTGCATAATCAGCTGCTTAGTGAAGCTTTGTTCTTCTAAAACAAAATAGTTTCTTAGTTAGCAGGCAACCTTAGTTTGATGATGTGATTTTGGAAGATGTTGAGCAAATGTGACATCTGTAGGCTCTGATCTTAAAGTGCTTGACAGTTCTTAGGATTATATGGTGAACTGCTGTTTCTCCTATCATTACAAAAGCTTGTGTTGTGATATTCGTTTTCTACCCAGCAAGGGTCTGGGGCACCTCCTTCCAGGGGCTCCTTCTAGGCTGCCCTTGGGTGGTCATTCAGCAGAAAAAAATATAGGAAGAATTTCTTGTGCTTTGGGCAGAAGGACAAGATCTAACTTGGTTTCCTGCCAGAAAGCAGAGCAGACAGAGAGCTTCAGGTTATTAACTTGTGTTAACTTCTGCTGCGAGCATCCTACAGAGTGCTAGAATGATCCTTTAATTGACCTAATGGTGTTTTCCTTGTCTTGAAATGTATGACATAATGCTGAGGTAGTCTCATCCCAGTACTGTTTACAGTATGCTCTGTATTTGCCATGCAGAATTTACTATATGGTAAAAAGGCCTATATTTAAGAAAGAAAACTGGTTGGATGTTTAAGCAGTTGGCTGGTCTTTTGGGTCTGTACTGTTTAATGGGAAATGGAGGGTGCAGGACCCTCCACCTGTTAACTTCTAAGAACACTAACAGGAAAGAGAGACCTGAGGTTGCACTGTTGATGTTTATGGCTGGCTGTTATCTACTTGCCTGCAAAACCAGCCGGGTGTGGATAGGTGTGCTAGGATACTCAGGGCTTGTCAAGGGCAGTGGCATCATTATCAAGGGCTGTGAGAGACAGACACTAAGCAAGGAGACACTGAGGTTACTTAATCTCCACAGCTTTGGCTTTGTTGTCCAAAAGACACTGAACAGTCATCTTATTTGTTTAATGCTCGGTGGTTTTGTACTGCAGAGACTCTATCACGGTACCTAAGTATCGTGACCAGAATGCCACGTTTGCTGAAGCAAAATACAGATAAGAGCTTTGCATTCCCATAAACTGAATGCTTTTCAGATTTTGTATTTTACTAGGTAATTAAATCTTGTAATGCCATGTAACACATGGTGATTGCACCATAAATTAGTGTAACCAGTTTCTGGAGGTGTGCACTTTAATTTCCTTTTTGACTGTTAAACTGATAAACCCTCTCTGATCAAGAGTCAGTTTTGGACAGCTATGATAATTAGCCTTTAATGTGTTGTCTGTATCAAAAATAACACTGAGACTATACATAATATACAAGAAAGTAACAGTTCTCAGTTAATCATCACGAAAACTGAAAAGATTTGTAAGTTTCACGCTTAAGAAAATATAGGCTTTAGGAGAATCGTGCAAAACTGGAAATAAGGTACTTGTTATTGGGGGGTCATAGTAAGAATTTTTTTTAAATCTCTTGGTGGCTGTTTAGTCAGAGGCTATAATTTCTATCTTTGTAAAGTGATCAAGCAGTACAAATTATAAACTGTTTTGTAATTCTCTAAAATAAAGACATAGTTTGTAATGAAGGAATCAAGAACTGTTTAAACCAAAATTTGTGGTTTGAGTGTATTTTTATTAATGTTACATTTTAGTTTCTATAGCTCAGAGTAAATACTAAAGGAGTGATAAAAGCTTTGGAGCTTTATTTATGAAAATCCATGCCATCCTTCAGATTGTTTCATTGTTCCTTTGAAGGCTCATACTTTATCTTTTCTGATTGCTATTGGCAAATAGATAAAAGTAATCTGCCCAAGATGTGTGTATGCGCTGGAGTAGCACTGTTTATTAAATTGTGTGGTCATATATTGGCCAGTTAAAATCTTAAGTGCCTTGAATATGGCAAGGTGTATTATAAATAGCTCCTGCAACACTGGAGTGAATCTACTCTATGCCTACCTGTCAAGGAGCTGAGAACATATCTTTTTCTTTAGGTACAGCTACTGGATTAGCTATATACATGGGGAGAATATATATAGCAAACCACAGAAATTATGCAGTGAATAAGTGGTATATTATTTTTGGTGTTCCTGTTTGCCAACTGGTATTTCATCTTGAAAAAGCTTTTCAACATTGGAAATGCCAATGGAAAAATTGAATCGAAATATTTTTTAAATGGAGAACCATTGCAATTTAATTTTTTTTCTTTAGACTTATTTACAGAGGGAAATGACAAAAAAGGACAATTTACTCTCCTTTTTGTAAGGCAGTACGTACTCATCATGATGTTAGGAGGTGGATTCCTCCCTGCCTGTAGTTACCTTGCTTGCAAGCACAGAGTCTGTGTAAGATCCTACAGTTAAATACAGGCATCATACATTTATATACAAGGCATCATATGTATTTATTCATGTCACAGCTAAAGAAAATAAATAATTCTAATCCTCTGCGAGGTTTAATCCTCAAGGACTAGATTTAAGTGATAGTTGCACTTCTTGGGCAGAACAAGTCCTACTTGAATGAACAGTGATTGTAACAGGTCATCACAAAGATTCAATGGCAGTGGAGGTAAGTGTATTAACAGAGAAAAATCGTAAACCAAAGTATTTCTTCATTAATGCTGCAATATGATAGCCAATGTCTGTCTTTTTCTGTCTGTTTGATTTTTCACTTTCTGCTTTAAGTAAGTTCTCTGTGTCAAACCCAAATGCCTGTGAGCTTCGTGAGCCCAGGGAAGGGAAGGGAGCGGTGTCCTGTTAGCAGGAGTTGCCATCCTCGTTTTCTGTAATAGGTGGTAATGCCAGGGGAGGGGGAATGGAAGAAATCCCAAAGATAAATGGGTTTAGTTGTCTTATTAGTTCCTGCAAGCTTCTGCTTCTTTTTCCGACTCCTGTGTTGCCTTGCTGGGACCATCCACTGCCTTAAAGACTTGCTGTCTGTCATGGAGGCCAGGCTTTGTATCAATGACATGCTGCTGCAGAAGAAGGTTAGTCTGAATGAGGCTATTCTGTAACAAATAGTAGCAGGTAGATCCCAGGTGTGTTGATAGGATCTGGCAGGATGTACTTTCTGCCCTGTGCAGGCATGAAAAGTTGTTGTAGATAAAGGCAGTAGTTTGTCAGTCTACCTGTTAGGGCTGACCATGTCCAGTTTTGAACTATATCATCGCTTCAGTGTATCGCTTATGAATTCAGTGGATGTTCCAGAGGCACATTACAAAGTCTCGTGCCCATTATCATCTCATTTTATATATATGATTTACACTGCTACCTTTGATATGTTGTTGCCAACCGCTTGTTCTAGTAAATTGTCAATGTACGGCAATTTAATTGAAGACTAAAGGTGTGTACAGTGGTTGTAACCAGTTTAGGAAATAAAGTCACTGCACATGTAATCTGATAACGATTTTTCTTTTATTTCTTTAATCTGGTTTCCATTTCAATGAAGGGATGGGAGTCTCTTTGCAGCTAGAGCAAATAGAGAAATAACAAACTGATCTTTGGCATTTCAGTTCTTCTGTTCTTCCACATTTCCTTCTAGCAGAAGCTTGTACTGAATAATTAATTCTAAGTTTTCCTTATTCATTTTAACCATGGCCCGCATCCGCAATGAGCATACCATTCTGGCTACACCTTTCACTTGGCTGCAGGAGGGAAGGGGGTAAATGGCTCTGCAGAGCTTTCATTTGCTTTTGTGACCTAAATGAAACAATCTGGATTGAACCATTAATCACTGGTGAATGTGTCCAATGGGTCTCCCTAGCACCCCCCCTTCACACATGCACACACACACGCACACGCACATATCTAATAGGCTCCCGAGTTGCCTGTGGAAAAACACATCGTTAAAATTAAATAATTGCATTTCAAATTGCATGTGTCTGCTGCCCACACAGTTCATGCCACTCAGCTGACAGTTTTAGAAGGGCTTCAAAAGTTAATAATAATTTTTGCTAGATACTGAAATGTGACCCCCTATAAGCAGCATGGATGAGGCAGTCACAAAGTGTCATGTTGAATGATATTATGCTGGCACTGTTTGGGGGGGAGGAGGGGGATGTTCTTTTTTTAATGCAAAATATTTCTGTAAAACTTGACCACTCTGTAGATGCTGCTGCTTCTGTCCTCTGAGCCAGACTAAACTGCTGACTACAGTGCAAAGTTTAAATTTGAGATGCTTTTCCTTAGAACACACTTAACCTTCACTTCTATAAAACTGAGCATCCCTGCTGGAGTCTTCAGGAAAACTACTGACACACCCTGGTTTCTTTAAACAGAGAAAGCAGTCCCATAATTTCCAATATTTTAATGTCATAAGTCAAAAAAAAAAAGAACAAATTCTTTGTATATGGACAGGCTCCTGCGTCAATAGAAATTTCTCAGTTTTTGTTCAGCATTGGCCACACAGACAGATGGCTGGTGACAGTTGTTACTTGGTCAAGAAACA